CTAGCATAATTTGAGTAAATCCAAAAAGGTTTGCGAGGGACAAACCCAATTGCAACAGCTATTAGAGGGCTACGCCTATACTCATAGAAGCTTGGGTTACTGAATGCTACCAATGATATAAAGGATTAACAGAACTTGGGGAAACTGTTTTTACCTTAACAACTTTGTTGAGCTTGGATAACGATAAAAATTAAAGCAATGGATGGATTTCCTTCATGCCACTGGACTACATGAACAAATTTACTATAGGCTGGATGGGATAATATGACCATGATTACTTTCAAGCTGAGGAGGGCAGCAATACGCTCTTGCTGCGTTTAAGACTGTCGTACCAAGGAAGAAGAAGAGGAAGTAGTACCCTTTTACTAAAATTCCTTCGGCTTCCTGGTCGTTTCACACTCCAGCCCACCAGGTGGCGGTAATGCACCTTAAGTTGGCTTGCAAACTGCTAATCAAAAGATGAAGAAGAAGCTAGTTGCTAACCGCCATTAAAACAGAAGAAGAAGAATTAGAACTAGGAGGAGGAGGGGGAGAGGGAGGGAGAGGAAGAAGAAGAAGAAGAAGAAGAAGAAGAAGAAGAAGAAGAAGAAGAACAAGAACAAGAACAAGAACTGCAATAACAACAACAACAACAAAGACAAAGACAAACAACATAAACACGGCGTTTCACAAATATATACTTCTGAGTTTATTTGGATGCTAACGTACTGTCTATAAAACTAATAATATATATTAAAAGTCCAGATAGATATTATATATACATGCCAGTGAGGTTTTGTAAACTTAATGGAGAAGTAATGTTACCATAAATATAGTTAAGCCAGCAAAAGCTGTTTACTTAGTTAGCTAACACTACGTGTATCCCTTATGCTAACGATTCGAGTATTGATTTTTGTAACATTACAAGCAAACGAAACGATGACGGCATAGTCAACGCTACGTTTCAACTTGACTTTGCTATTAAAAGACGGATGCGCTGGGCACAAACATGGAGGTGGCTGTTAAAGGTAAGAAATAATTAACTACGTGAGAATGATTAAATGACTACCTTGAGATATCCTTTTTTCTAAAACGTTTATGTGCCCGACCTTACCGTTTGAGTTTAACTCTAGTGGTAACACTAAACTTGGCCTCAGTAACGTTCATCATTTTCATAGCCATTAAAGGGTAACTGTAATGCACACATCTTAGCTACATTTGTACTACAAGGAACTCTAAACTTGATTCACAAGTTTTGTAACGGTGGTTGACTTGAGACAATTTTGGACTTTCGTTTAACAGGACGCCTCTGTCTGACATATTTGAAGATTTACCTGAGTAAATTTTGATCCGTTCCCCGAAAGGAAACGAAGGTTTTATCAAAGTATAAGACTGGCTTTAGTCACTATAATAAAGGAAGTACAAAACTGTCATCTTTATTTATGTTAACCCAAACGGTGAAAACAGTAAAAAAAAAAAAAAGGAAAAGAAACAAAAACACAAATAAATAAATAAAAATACTACTGTATATGTAATGAAAACGTAAGAAATAGAGTAGTTTGTGTTGTGCTTATAGGCTCTATTTTATTACAAAGCCTCGTCCGGCTCTTTCAAACCAGGAACTCACAAAGACGAAGTAGACCACTTAGATTTTATAAAAAAGAACCGTGCTGGTTTATTCAGAGGATCACAGGTAAAATTAACATTACACGTCCAGATCTCTCCCACCACCAAACCTGCGCACAGGCAGCTTGGAAGATGAAAGACCCTGAACCAAAGAACCTATACAATATTAATCATTTGGTTGGGATAGCCCATTCTACCCAGGCACGTGACGTCACCTGATATGCCAGCTTGCAGCTGACCATAACAATAGTCAAAACATGAGGAAAAGTCAAGGTGTGTGGCTGTTGATTAGTGGTGTGTATCCAAGAACAATTTGACATGACATTTCACTTTAAGAAAAATATTATGATTAGCATTACAGTTAATAATAACAATCATCCCTGCCTGCAGCCTTTGTCTGATTTAATTAACCTTGGCCTAGATGCAGTCTGCAGGCACATCAGAATAACTAAGCATTTAACAGCCTGAGCTAGACATCCTGTCTCCACTAAACATTTCTAGACAACAAATCTCTGAATATCTATCTAACTAAGAAATTACCTAACATGCTAATGTTAGAAATAATCCAATTCTTTTGTTGGAAGCGCGAGAAGTGAAGACAGGAGAGGACTGTTTAAAATCAACAGGAAATTTACTCAAAGTCTGGGCACAGGTGAAGTCCATACAGCGCTCGGATCAGAGAGACAGAGCTCCTGCAGGAGATCCATTATCTGAACCACGAGTTACGTTTTCACAATACTTTTAAGTTCTTGGGCTGCTCCGCCCTGGACAGAGTTACAACATTACACACTTTGTAATCCTGTTGGCCATTTGGGGTAAGCAGGAGCTCACACCTCCTTGCTGGAATGTGGTAAAATCCAGGTGTGTGTGTGTGTGTGTGTGTTTCTCAGGTGGCAGCTTGATCTTGATCAATGAACAGTGAACAGCGGGTGGTCTGGGTTGCAGGCCCCCTGTGTGTGTGATGCTAATAAGTATGCTAAACTGGCCAGGTGGTCATCTCAGGTTATGGGCCCCCTGCCTCTGCAGGACACCCCATGATAAAGCAGAACTTGGAATATGCTAACTGGGTCTAAGTGTGGGTGCAAAACAGGCCAACATGTCTTTGTTAAAATGTAAATAGGCTGTGTGGTTGCTTGGAGATACAGACATCCTGTCTCTACACAGAAATTAAAGCAGGCAGTTTCTACTTCAGTATCACTTGACTCTCATCAATACAATTGTAAGATATATAAGCAAGGAAAATAAAGCTATGAAAGGTAACTAAAGGAACTAAAGTTATGAAAAGTAACTAAAGCTTATAAAGTAATGTTATACCCCAGTTCTTTTATTGAACAGATCTGAATGAAGACGGAGTCCGACTTGCTTCATTTTAGTGCTGGTTTATTTAAAAAAGACCACAAATAAAAGTTACACAAGCACAAACCCTGGTGGCTCCCTCCCTCAGACAAGCTGCTGGAGAAGAGAGATCCCGGTGTTAGGTATTTTTAGTCAGATAGATATTGGATAGAAAATTTATGTATTAGAAATGTCTAGTGGAGATAGGATGTCTCGTTAGACTGTTA